AAACGTGAAACGATAACTCTTGAAGTCCCATAAAAAATGAACATTGGGCAAGCCCTCAATACCACCTATAATATATATCTTTGCAGCCCATAGGGCTTACACGAAAAATATGGCTTGCTACGCGCCTGTTAAACGCACGAGAATTGCAATACGGTCCTCTAACCACTGATTCTCCATGACCTGGAGACACATGTGACTGAGCGTATGTTGGGACGTCGTCTGTCATACAGACCCTGAAGCAAATATATCCAAGCCCACGCAAGTCTACAAAATGTGGCAAGTCTAAATTTCCACAGCTTCAGGAGAAAGTCTCAGGGCTCCTTATATTATATATTGTTTTATACTATGAACTTTTTCTGTAAAATATGTTCATATCAGAGACTAGTTGTTAATCTAGTTCTGACGGGTAGAAGACAAAAGACAAAATGGATACTAGTGCTGTTACTATTTTTAAATTATATATAAACATTCGTCCTTGTCTCGGGATGAATGTATGTTTTCCACCAAATGTACATTCGGAGGATATCGAAATCTAGGTTAAGCTATTTGAATCATATTTGCAATTAAAACACCCAAACAATGGTTTGTTGTCCAAATTTTTGGTTTTCCATATCTTGTCCCAGTCTGTATCACAGTCACAGAACGGTATTTTTTCCTCTTCCGTCTCTAGGAAAACTCACTGCAGGGTTTGGGTTATGGAGTGCCATACCAAACACCCACAGCTGGCGGGACCAACATCTCCAGTAACATTTACATCTGCCAACGCTTAATTCGCAAGTGGTGAGACAATAAGCTAATGGGGCTAAGGGTTTGTGAAATATCTATGATGCCTTATATGAAGTCTATCATCTAAGCAAGTCTAGCTATGTATGGCGTTAAGTCACTGCTTGAAGAAAGCCTCCTTTAGAATTTTATTTGGTAAATACATGTATTAGTATTTCCATCATATTGGAAAATACATAGACCAACGCTTAGTGTCTGAATATATAGTAACAAACAGACCTATTTATAATGAAAAGGAGCCCCAGGGAGACACGAGATTCAGTCCGGCCAGCCATGGCAGGAGGATATGTTTACTTTGTAGCCCGACCCCAAAGTGAGTTAGGTTTCTTGCAGATGTTTACAGACCCTGGACCTGAGGAGATCTAGACTTGCTTCATTAAAGGCTTTAGCATTGCAGAGAGGGCTTGGCAGTAGGGAAAATAATGTGGTTCAGGGACTGTGAGACAGACTAAGCAGTAAGGAAAATAATGTGGTTCAGGGACTGTGAGACAGACTAGAAAATGCATGGCAACCTACACTTCATTGTGACTATGATTAAGGCATCATTTTAAAACACAAGGGTTATTTCCTTTGCGTTAACTGACAGGCTTTCGGTGTCAAATTATTTGGATTATCCGACCAAAGGGGATGTTATTCTGTCTGGAAATATGGCCTTTTTGCAATGCTTTGGTTGCATATAATGATAAGTGATTGTTGCACATATGATGTTTTTGAAGGATAATCTCAGTTGACTAATACTTTGCACGAGTTTCCCTCCACTCTTTCCATACCCGTAAAAGTTAATTTTCCATATATATGTCTGTAAGAAAATACTGTAAAGTAATGGGATGGCTGAATTTGACCACCTGAGGTAGTGACCACAGCACTCTGGTTATACTGCATTCAGAGAGGACAGAGCTAGGCAAGATACCAATAAATATGCTTGTCATTTAAACCTTTATCTGATGTTTGTGGAATGTGACTTTATAATTGAAGATGCTTCCTGCACATGTAGCCCCAATATAGATGTTGTTAGTCTCTTTTTTTCAATTGAAATTAAGATCTTTGCCTTATATCAAAATAATATATTTTTAGTCTTAATGTGCCTATGTCGGGAATCAAACACCGTTTTTTGACCTGACAGGCGAACGCTTTATCCACGAGCGTACCCGATCATTCCTTGATACTGTTACAGAATATCCATTGGTACATTTATTATACATTCAAGATTGAACCAAGTTTTGTCACCATATATCATTCAGTTTTTATGTTAGTGAAATGATCTGCTCACTGATAATTTAAAAAGAGAAATATAAATAATGATTGTTTTAGTTTTCCATTTATCTAGTAATTTTCAGTTTCTATTTCCTGGAAATTCTGTACGAAGGTACTTTCAACAGTTTCACCCAAAAACAGTAAAGCATACAGATAATACGTTTCGGTACTTTGATAGAATAATAAGTACACATTATATTCCATGATAAAATTCCATTAATTTCCATTACAAAAAGTATAAACGATATTACCTACTGGTCAGAAAGACTTATCAGTACCCCAACACCGACCCATCGCCATCACCCCACCCTAGGCCTACCCCATGCCACACCCTCTCCCTCGCACACACACACACACACACACTCCCTAACATACATATCGCTCTGGCCCATAGCCCTGATATTTGAACCTTTTAAACAGACACCATGTGTATGTCAAGAAAGACACGCACGTTATTAATGGTGCACAGTCATGGGTATCACTTCACCATGTGTCTCTAATTATCTCAGTACATTATGGCGTGCTCGGACGCGCTAACGAACCCTATGTGACAGTTACATTACAGAACCATTGAAATACATGTTAAAGTAGTGCTAATCATGTGACACTATATTTACCCATTTCCAACCATTTACGCATGTACTAAATATATGACAAATCTAACCCTGGTTATACGAGATTTCAAGGGTATTGAAATGCATGTCCTACAATCACAGCATTTACATATGTTACACATGCTAGGAAACACATGAAAACAATGGCCAGATTTACACACCTGTGAAATACATGTAAATGCAGAGTTGAATGTTGGTTTATTTTAACACCCGTTTAAACGTCTGTAAATCTGACGGCCAGATGATACGTAGATTTCAAACGTTGTTCATATGGCCGCCGGATGAAACGAGTATTTCCTGACGTTAGTAAATTTGGGTAATACAGTCATTTTGTGTGGTGAAATTAGTCGCATGTCCCTTAACAGCACCCATATATTTTGTCTGATCAGTCGAATTTTAAATTTGTCTACTACATGTATATGCTCAGTGTATAAGCTTTATAGAAACGTGGTCTTTCTGACCAACGACTGCTTGCCCCGAAGATCACCGAAACGAGCAACGAAGATCAAAGAAGTCAAATGCATGTCCCAGACGTTCACCCCTTTCGTGAAACAAAGCTGCATTCAGCAATATTCCAGCGGTTTGGCGGCGATCTAAAAATAATCGAATCTGGACCAGTCAATCCAGCAATCAACAGCATGAGCATCGATCCTGTTAGTCGCCTCATCCGACAAGCACTTAAGTTACTGAAGATCAACTCAGTTACTCTAACCCGTGAAAATAAAGTATTACAAACATTCTATAAATATTCTGAAGTAATTGATAGTAAACGAGAGTTAGTGATAAGCTGAATATCGAATGTGTCTTAAATATGAGTCATAGTGTTTCCAAAATTTACAGATATCCTTCGAGCGTTCACATGATCTTCTTGACACAGGACGTCTTGCTTTCGGGGTCAGGAATTAGGTAAAATCACCTTCATATCCCCTTAAGCCTTACCGATAATGACTTAGCAGTGATATTTACAATTAAAGTGTGTGGATGTGTAAACACTGAAGAATTAATAAGAATTTAACGCATAAAATCTGAAAAGGAAGTGCCTTTAGTAGTCAGCATGTAGTCGAGGCGAATGAAAAAACATCGAGATTTCGAGCAATATACAAATAACTATAATGTCGGTTTAAAATGATTTAAATTAGCGAGTTGGTACCATTAGGTCTCAGTACACAAGTCTGTATTTTGCGCGAGTGTCAGTGTTCATGTCTGCTTTATAAAACCCAAACTAGGGGTTTCCTTGATGCAACATGCCCATGTCTGAATAATCCTTGCACTGATGCAACACATCTGTGTTGGAATATCCCCTTCACTGATGTAACATGTCCCAGTTGGAATATTGGTTGCTCTGATGTAACATGTCAAAGTTGGAATATTGGTTGCTCTGATGTAACATGTCCGTGTTGGAATATTGGTTGCTCTGATGCAACATGTCTGTGTTGGAATATTGATTGCTCTGATGTAACCTGTACAAGTTGGAATATTGGTTGCTCTGATGAAACATGTCTGTGTTGAAATATTGGTTGCTCTGATGTAACATGTCCGTGTTGAAATATTGGTTGCTCTGATGTAATATGTCCGTGTTGAAATATTGGTTGCTCTGATGTAACATGTCCAAGTTGGAATATTAGTTGCGCTGATGAAACATGTCCAAGTTGGAGTATTGGTTGCTGTGATAAAACATGTCCATCTTTGAGTATTGGTTGCTCTGATGTAACCTGTCCAAGTTGGAATATTGGTTACACTGATGTAACATGTCCAAGTTGGAATATTGGTTACACTGATGTAATATGTCCGTGTTGGAATATTGGTTGATCTAATGAAACATATCCAAGTTGGAATATTGATTGCTCTGATGTAACATGTCCAATTTGGAATATTGATTGCTCTGGTGCAACATATCCATGTTGGAATATTGGTTGCACTGATGTAACATGTCCATGTTGGAATATTGGTTGCTCTGATGAAACATGTCCATATTGGAATAGTGGTTGCTGTAATGCAACATGTCCAAGTTGGAATATTGGTTGCTCTGATATAAAATGTCCATGTTGGAATATTGGTTGCACTGATCCAATATCATACGAGGGGCAACAAGAATTGTTGCACCTCACAGACGTTCATCCCTTTGGTGAAACAAAGCATCACAGCCACGGTGCGGATAACCCAATGATCAGATCATGCAGCGCCTGTGGACTGAACTCTGTAGCAGCAGCTTGAACGACTGGGCCTTTCATACATGTACCTCCCGTGCTCTTGCCGTCGTAAAATATACGGAGTCTACATGATGCTGTTTGACCACTAAATAACCTCTCACTATTTAAAGCAAAGGTTCCATTAGCAGTTCAAATTGAGTTGTTGAGTGTTGTTACTGGTTACTAAACATACACGTTAGATTAAAGAGAGGGACTTATAAATATAAACAAAATGTGAAGATGAGGAGATGGTGTTTGAGTCCTTTCATGATGTGGCAACTACGGAAATCCATCGTTTCCAGCAAGTGTTGTAACATGAAACCACCAAACTATGATATTCCCTGTGTAATATGAAAGGAGTTTAAATGTGTTGAATTTAGAACATTAATTCCATGGTGTTTTCAGGCGACGAAGATAATACCCAGTGAATGTTAGGTTCCAGCGACTTCTTTAATTTCTACAAACAAAAAGAAAAGAATGGCAATATATGTTTTATTTATTTTTTTCCATTACGACAGTAGATAATATAATATCCATACAGCTGGATTTTACAGAACATACATTTTGTACCTATATCCAAGATTCGAATTAGAATTGCATTATTTCGTCTTTTATATCTACCCACTGATTACATGATTAGAATTATACTAACATTTTGTTCTATGATTTTCCAAAAGTAGCATATGATAATAAGTAAAAAACAAAATACGACGGAATGGGATTGCAATTTGCCAGGAGGAATAGACCGGGAGATATTTGGCCAGGAGGATGGGGAAATTGGCAGAGACCCCGTTTGATGTGAATCCCTTTCACATGAAGTAAAGATAAGCTAGTCATGTAACACTGGGAAACAGGTTCCTGCATATGCACAGCGCCCAATGACGTTACCTCTCTGATTGAATTTCCCTCTGTTTTGTACACCGTCCAGATGAAGACAACAGGCAAAGGAAAGATTGAACCAAAGGATATCATCCATCCAAGTCCCGTGGCCCAGGTAGGGTAGATGTAGTCACCATAGTTAGGGGGTCGGTAAGAGTACAGGGAGTAGCAGAAGATGATCTGTAAGAATGATGATTCCGGGATGAAAGAACAATTGTGGGCACACCATGTATTGTGTACATTGTCATGATGACTAAAGGGACTATATGCAACTCAACCAATGTAGTTGACAAATGCATGTTTCTGTGTATGTGTGAATGACATGAGGGAAGGAGAGTCAGGTGATCTGGAAATGAGATACATAACGTGGATGGCGCCACCAGTGGCTGTGCAGTTGCCTCCCTTGGGTACGCCAGAAACCTAGGATAGGTTTGAATGCTGTGTTGCCCCGATCATATTTCTTATTTTGATAACACTACATCCTTTTCTATCACTAAACCTAAAATCGTAAACATCCAAGACAATGGCATGTTACACTGTTGTCAATTATATATCATTGGCATCTTACTCATCTATACATACATAGCTATACCATTACAATCATATACCTTCATGCACCCGTCAAACTGCTGACACATATATTCAAGCAAGTTCATGCTGCACTGCTACTTTCATTATACCGATACAGATATTTTGTATGACTGTAACCAAAATACAAACACTTCACCCTGATTAACTGTTAGGTTTTGGCTTCCATTTGTCCTTTGCAAACCACACATACATTGTTTAGAAGGCATCTTCGTTCTTTTATTACTTTTGTTATTCTTACATGCACATATATATGCTCTGTGCCGCATACCATTCATTCGGCACCCTCGAAGAGCAACCCCCTCGTGGTGGGTGCTGGGTAACGCTAATAGCTTTTCACCCACCCAATCTGGTAATGCCAACCTCTGAATTCCGTATGTCTCCAAATACCTGTTATGGGCAGAACCAGCTGGGCAGTTCTTTTTGGGTAGACAATTATGGCTTTTCATGTTGTATTTGCCGGAGTATAACACCCTTGTAAACCTGGTGTTGTAGTTGGTTACCTATGCAAAATCGTCCATATTGACACTCGATAGCGGGTGGGGAACGAGGGTGTTGAATACTATTCTGGCGCCATGTCTCAAAACCAAACCTCTGGTTCTTGGAAAACTAATGAACGTCGTCATGTAGAAGCTTTGACCTTCTGATGAAGATCTTTCTCCAGATGTTGCTGTATTTTGGCCAACGTTTATTGTTATATCTTCTGCTGATGGTAATCCATTGAAACGCAATCCTTTTGCTGTCTCCAAGGGTATACAAAGTGTCTGCTGAGAAGTGTAGAATGTAACTCATCTTCGATGTTGTTCATTGCTTGTTGAATGTGCACGAAGACAGCAGTCTGTTAACTTGCTGGGTCTAAAGCAGTTTGTTAACACCAAGGTTGTTGTCTCGGTGCACAAATCATTGAATTCATGTTGAGGGATTGTTCAGAATCGAGCTGAATGTCTGTCTGACATGACAGAAGATGGCATTTCTGCTTCTTTAACAAATCAAGGCGTTACCTCTGTGAAACGCTTCATCAGAAAACAGAACAATATTATCAAAACAAATACCTACCTTTTCACCTTTGCCCTCTCCACTCTTCCAAAATCAATTAAGCCTGGTTACTTTAACATCGGTGTGGACGATTTTATTTCAAAGCCACTTCGGTGTTTTAATTGCCAAAAATATGTCATGGTGCCAAATCTTGCAATCATGTCTCTATCTGTGTCCGTTGCAGTGGGGCTCACGAGAGCTCAGAGTGCACTAATGAAATCAAGTGTGCCAACTGTGAATAGACAACATTTAGCATCATCCAAATCCTGACCCAATTTTGAACATCAGTCGAAAATGCTCAAACTAAAGTATACTAACAATATCTGTTTTGCAGAAGACTATAAAATAATTCCAATACAGACACAAACAACCGCTTCTTATTCTGCAGCAGTTTCTTCATGTTGTCTTTCTGAGGTTTCACAGCAATATATTTCATGTCTGACAGCAATATCTTGGGTGACAGATATACAGGTCACACTTGATAAGTATGTCTCATACCAAACTGTCCAAAAAAACTCATCAGCTTCCTTCTCAGACTGAGGATCTATCAGAACTACGATCTGTGCCTACATCAGACCTGGAAATTGAGAGAGTTCAACTGTCTATGGAAGCCCCTGTTACGGTTCACAATCCATTCGAAGCGCTTGATATGGACGTCACTCCATCACATCCTGTAGAAGTGGGTCACCCAGGTACATGTAGGTATTAGTAAATTGCAAGAAAGAATGCCCTATATTGCTTATACCTACTTGGTTTGTCAGTCCAGATTTGACGAGGTCATTATGCGACAATGCCTCATTGGCCGTACTAGATATACACACGAATATTTACTAAAAGGTGAGGATCCTCTATTTTGCATCCCTTGTGATGTGAGGATCACGGACAAGCATGTCCTGCTTCACTGTATTGATTTCCTTCACAAAGGATAAATATTTCAATGTTAAACAGTGAAGGATCTTTTTAATGTAAATTATCATTAAATCGTTGAAAAAGGATCTTTTTTCATTGTTAATTACCTCTTAATTATTGACTTCTTAAAGGAAATTGAACTAATTAATAAATTGTGATTGATATGTTTTGTATATAGGTATATATTTCATTATTGGCATCATTATCAACTTACATTGTTGGTGGCTGTACCCTCACAGAGGGTTGAAGTATCGTAAAATTATTTATTGCCCTCCTGTGGGTGTACGTAAGTCCCAAAACTTTCCAAATAAATTTATATTTACCAGACTTTTTGAACTTTTTAAATTTTTAATTACGGCTACAATTCCCTACAACGCCGGCAACTGAAGGGATGCTGAAACCTAACTAGGGTCCATGCAGGTAGCATAGGTACTGTAAGTCCCCATGCTCCCTAGTGTGGTGATCTACCTTCAGTTGTTGGCGATCTTACAGCCTGTTTCTATTATTGTATCGTCTTCTGTGGTTAAACCGTTTTAGAATGAATTACTAGTTTTAAATTTATATCTGTGATAGTCTAGTTATTTTACTGTCCTTCGTTGAAAGGTGTTTTTCCAATTTACGTTTAATAATTATAAATCTTTAACTTGATTTAGTCACGATATGGCTGAAATATTGCCGATGCGACTTGAAATTTTAACTCACTTACTCACTCTCCTATACCATTCATTCACCTGATGAAGGAGTTAGGATATACTCCGAAACATTGTGTTCCTCATAATAAAGAAGTTGACAACCATAAAACTCTCTTCCTTATGGACATGTTGCATGAATGCAAAATACGAACCCACCGACATGGACATGGACGCATCAACATGGACCACTGCCACTTACCAGGAGGAGTCCGGGGCAGATGAATTTCAGGCTGAAGGTCATGATCCTCGGAACAGTCTTCCCGCACATTAAGCTAATGACCCTCTGCAGTCTGTGTGTGCCTAAAACAAATAGTCGACTCCTTGTGGTTATCTCATGGTACTACCATACCAGCAGTGTACATAAAGTAGACTTCTTACGCAATATATAGAGAACCACAACACATACTGTCAATCGTCAAAAGGAATTTGCTCAAAGCCAAATCCCGTTTCTAACAGGTAGCTCAAAAAGTCAGGGCCACGATCTTTTATTCATTTGGCGCCTTGGACAATACTGTCGTTTGAAGTTATTTTTGCGTATGTTTTCATTATGATTGATGTTTGTTTCTAGTTTGTAACAAGATGCTTACCATAGATCCAGCTGACCACAAAGCATTCCAACATAGCAAACACTGCTATGGAGGGGGAAGAACGCATACCAGTCCACCAGTGTAAGCATGTACATTCCACCCTGTCAAAAAAGAGTTTCAACATTCTTGATTTTGCGTTTTACAGCTCGTCGCTCGTGTCCGTTCTGCATTTATCGACCTGTGAAGGTCCGGGTTAGAATTGGCCTTCAGTAACACATGCTATTGGAAAGAGACAAAAACACATGCACCTCTCTATTCTTTGCAAACGTCGTTATTCAGAGTGACAACAAACTCTCCACAAGGCTGTTTGGCCAAAAGCATGATTTCAACTTTTCAACTATCAGCCTTCCTTTCTGTTGAGCAATATTCCAACAGCTACAGCCTTTGCAGCCTGGTTCCCGGGATCGGCTGCGCTAACGCTTCGACTGCGGCAATCACTACCGAATGGCGGCCATCACTTCTAGGTGACACGCCACATATCTGCTATAGAAAACTCCGAGAACGGGTGGTTAGAAGTTTTTCATATCACCTTCATCGAGACTATTGCAAGGTATACGTCACCAGAACCACGCTCATTCTTATCCTTATTTAACCAGGCTGCCGCCTTTTGTATTTACAGTTCGCAACTCTTGCTCAGAAGTTACAAGTTACAGCATTCAGACTTCAGTATTATGACGGGAGCCACCTGTTGGGCAGGGTAGGTGTCCCAGATTCCATTTTTTAAATATGACCATCATACAACTGTAGCATCGATTAGTGAGTTGTACAATTGATTTTATAAGAAATTTTTATGGTCATGGGGTTTTCGCTTTTATTATTAGGAAAGTTATATATCATGAATTATTGCATGTGTCTGCACTTTCATGTATGTCACTCGGAAGCCACTGGCCTCTTAGTTATGCTCCGTCCGTACGTCCGTCCGTCCGCGCGAATAGGCGATTATAATATTAGGCTCCGTCCGTCCGTCCGAATATGAATATCTTTATATTCTTTTCATATTTAGTACCTAGATCCATCACAGTATGAGAAAGGTCCCAGTTATGTTTGGTGACCTTCACCTTCATTCAAGGTCACAAGGGGACTGTAACATTTTACCCTTGTCAGCAAGATATCTCAAATACCATTCACTGGATTCTCTTCATATGCGACACCAAGCTTTACCTAGGGAAGACGCAGGGCCCAGTCGATTTTGGTGACCTTCACACAATTGTCAAGGTCACAGCGACACTTTGAAGATTTCAGCATGTTAACCTGCATGTTAAGTTTGTCAGCAAGATACCTGAAGAACCGGTGACTGGATTTTCTTCTTATTCATCACCAAGCTTCATCTCGGGAAGTTCACTTTTTATTGTATAAATTGTTTTCGTCACGATATGGCTGTTATATTGCCGATGTGACTTTAAATATTAACTCACTCACTCACTCATCTCGGGAAGGCCCAGGGCCCAGTTGATTTGGTGACCTTCCCGTCATTTTCAAGGTCACTGCGACACTTTGAAGATTTCAGCATGTTCACCTGCATGCTAAGCATGTCAGCGAGATACCTGAAGAACTGGTCACTGGACTTTCTTCATATTCGACACCAAGCTTCATCTAGGGAAGGTGCAAGGCCCAGTCGATTTTTGTGTCCTTCACTTAATTTTGAAAATTTCAGCATATTAACCTGCATGTTAGGATTGTCAGCAAGATATCTCAAGAACGGTTCACTGGATTTTCTTTACAGACTTTCAAGACTTCTCTTCAATGTTTTTGATAAGCAATTTCTTTATTACTATTTTTGCATTTTTCATACACCATGACATTCATGTCAACGTTAAAGTGATTCTTGACAATATTTGTGTGTTTGAACAACTACAGAGCAAGATATCAAGATAGGTTGACTGGTCATGTTTTTTGTGACATTTAACTTCATCTTAATCTACAACTTTCACTGTCATTACTTTTTTGGTTTGGTTTGATAATATGCGGCGGGGGATTATCTCACCTTAGTGACAATGCTTGTTCTGTCATATTTTTAAACTTCCAATGTTTGTCATAATGTCGAATATGTTGGGGGATAGGGAAAGCTCTAAGTATCTGGGTACAGTTCATTCACCTGTGTCATATAGAGTAGACCAAGGAGGAAGCATGGTACCAGGACCATGAGGATGATCACCCAACGTCGGCGAGACAGGCTTGGAAACTGATCTGACAATGCTGTTACCGCGATCTCATAGCATGGTAACTGTAAAGAAACGGGACTGCAATATATAAACCGCGTTTTAGTCTGATACATATATGTAATATTTCTCATATATAATATTCTTACTACAGCAACTTTTATGTAGTGATGTATGCAGTTGTCGCTTTATATCAATGTCTTATGAGGAATGTAAATATCATACATACATTCGTCTAAGGCCTTTGAGATTTATTGATGGGATCCTTTTCGAACTTCTACAATTGTGTGCTTTGAATGTTATGGACACGATTGGAATAAACATTGTCGGCCTTGATGAAATTTCTAAGACACTATATTATTATCCAAACAGGTTTGGACTATTGTCCATTTCATAACCAGCTATACAAGAATGGCAAAAATGAAGGAAAAAGGACTGTATTGTCAACTCAATATATACTGACTGATATAAATGCCACCTTTTAAAACTAAATGGAAAATTGTGTTCATGTGGGTGATTTTATTATGATTGTACCGTTTTGTTAACGTGTTTTTCAATCCGAATTAAGAGTTATTACCAACATCAGTGTTTTCTGATGAAGTCATATCGGCATTAATTAGTGAAAATGAAAATGGACGTAGCACAAATGAGCGAAACAGGATTGTTTTGGCAATTTAATATAATTTGCATCGGACAGGGTCTTATCGGTTGCCCGTTTTAACCACTTTGTCGCCATGTGCTGGTACAACTAGTGTAATGAATATGAGATTACAGGAGAACTCTTTTTCTGATGCATTTGGCTGATTTATTGAGCTTAGCCTGTTTGTCAAAAAACGGTGTTTTCGTAATTCGGAACCTATACGTTACCAGAGAGTCGAGTCCAAGTGTTAGCAAATTCAAGAAGGTCAAGACAGACCACAACTGAGGCATGGGGAGTGAAGCCACGGCTTCTGGGTATGCGATGAATCCAAGGTTGTATCCTGTTTAAATTAAAACACAATTCCAATCATCAAAGGTTGTATCCTGGACAAATAAAACAACATATCCATCAAATGGAAAACGTTGATATTCATACAATAATCATGTGTGGCTTGTCACCTCGTACTGATACTGATAGACATATAGGAGCCAGGTGTGTGATGGCTTATTAATTATCTTCGGTGTGATTGTGCGCTCATATTTGAAACTGTTACATCCGTTTAATTAGTGCTGGTGTTTACACATAAAACAAATTTCCCTACTTTCAATCTCTGGGGTGAGTTTTCAGCAAAAACTTAACAAACGAAGAGATTTTCGGGCACAACTTAAGTAGCTGATCGTACAGTTTATCAGGAAGAAAACAAGGAGGAGGAGCGATCTAAATTTAAATGTTTTAAGTGTAACTGGTATATACATGTTGCCACAGTGGTATTGATCAGAACATATTTAGCAAACATTAATGAATAATACGACTGGCGTGTATAAATGAAGGAAATACCTGAATATTGGAACGAATCTACAGTCACACCACGCAGGTGAGCAACGTGACCCATGATGGCAAAGAAGGCAAACCCCATGTACATAGTTGTCAATGCAACAGCGGTAACTAGGACCAACGCGTCCCTGGAAGAAAAACGTTACATTGCAACATTTTACCCTCTTAATCAAGTCAAATCAAATCTTATACAGTGGATGAAGCATGAACACGCTCACTACATTATTGTTTTGGGGGGATCCGGAGGAGGACGTTTCTCTCTTAAAGTGCAATTACTATTTAAACCGAAGTTCGTGACTCACGGGCCAATAGACCGATTCAGTCTGTCAATCAAAAATGACGCATGCGTTGATTTGGTCCAATCAGCAGGCCGGGTGCATTTTTTGTATTTGTCAGACTTACTTCCGGGATCAAAAGATCCCCTACGAAGTGCAGACTCATGGGCCAACTTATCTATATATCCTTGTCTCAAGATAATGTAATGACCTTCAATTTTTAGTCACTTAGTAGATGGCCATTCATGTCATATCTGCTGGAGTAAAACGCCTCTGTTTCTTTGTTTTGCATCTTGGTGCTGTCTGACATTGTCATTGTTGACAGTAAGGTGTGGAGCAAAGGTGCAGGGGTATTTTCCTTTTTTACGTCAAAAGTTTGGTCTGTTACTCACAGTTTTAATACTTGATAATTAATTTCGATTTAACGAGGCTTACTTGTCACGATATGAGACACAATGTATTCAAAACGGAAAGTATGACTTTCTGAAGAATACTGACAACCCGATACAGTTTAACCTAATGACGTTATTTGATAAGTTCATCCTCTGCAAATGCTCATGTTCACAACCAATAACCGTATAATAAAGCAACCCGTTATGGCCATCTTTGCCCCGTGATGATTAAATTGCGAAAAAAATATAAGTTACATGAACGAAAATGTCAACATTCTTCCCTGTCATTTAGTTAAAACAGAGATTCTGCAGGGTTAACCGGTAAAGAAAGCAAAGAGCGATATTAATTTCACATTTAACAACCTTCAACATTTAAAAACAAAGCTTTAACGGACTTCTTGTTTTTCTTCAACTTGAACAATTTTAATAACTTTACAAATAAACACCTTTCACATTTGTCCCATTACGGGGAATAGTGCTGGGAATTGAAATCCTATAAACTGAATTCAAGTAACGTTAGTGCACAGTGGCTGAGATCCACATTTATTCTAGGTGTGTTTGCGTTACAACCACGAAAATATGGGGTAGGTGTAAATGTGTTTGGCACGGATGACGTATCAACCAATCTTAAATCCGCCATAATCTAACCTTAGGTCATCACCAAAGAGTAGCCACTGACTTGAATATAGATCCCACACGCATGTTTGATACCAGTTTGATAACATGGGTTTCTCACCTTAAGCAATTGTTGTTAAGTTTGTTGTGCCCTGCCATTGTTGGAAGACATCCAAACGCAATTCCTGGTGCGGCCAATGCATAATTACAAGCTTCAATCCAAATCTGCCAATTGAATCGAAACTGAATTATGACAACTGCATTTAAGTATAGAAAAACTGGAAAACAGCAATTCAAACAAGTAGAAAAGAATCTCTCACATAAGCATGCATCACATCCTTGATTGGCATTTTAGAAGATGGTATTTGATGAACATAAAGAATTTCTAGGATTTCGTCTTCTCATTATTCTTTGATGCAACGTTTCGGGGCCTGTTCCGGCCCCGCCATCAGGTAAAACATCATCAACCCCTAAACGTTGTATCAAAGAATAAAAAGAAGATGAAATCCAGGAAATTCTCCATGATTATAAACATGCATTATTTTGTGAAACAAATTTTCACAGTGAGGGCATTATGGGATCATAAAAAGGATCATTTCCACTTAACTGCGATAAGTTTAAGAACAAAGCCAAGATTTGTCTTCCCTAACATTTAATATTGAGATCGTATAAAAAGGTGAATCCGCATAATCGTCAACCGTTAACTCCCTTCCATGTTCAAACCACTGATAATACGGCTATATAAATGATAGAAAATAGGCGACAGTCATTCCTCTATCAATGAAGTCTTTCATCTCTGATGTTCTTCACCTTGGGATCCTGCAGCTTCTCAAAATTCGGGTACATGTAGTAATATATTCCATCAGCCGAACCCGGAAGTAGACAGCCCCGGATGAGGAATATAGTGATGAGGATGTAAGGAGCACAAACTGTGACGTACACCACCTGTTGCCATGGAAACACATAATGACACTGAAGTTGATACTAGTAGCACATGTATGTAGAGACAATGCAAGGCTCATAAAGACCACAAGACCATGGTCACTACAGTTGCCACAAAGGTGTTGACAGCTCATTGCTCTATAAATAACGCCCTTACTTTGATTGGCTTTACCTTTCCTGACACCTTGATCCCCCGAAAGAGACAAAAGAACACTACGATGTAGGTGATAGCAAGACAACCAACCAGAGGCCACCTCATACTACCGAGATGTTCCAGACCGTCGCTAATCTGTAAGACCTTTAGCCTGTTCAAAATAGAGGTAAAGTATACACAAAATAGGGTACACAAAATAATGAAAACAGTTTGAGATACTAGGCGATATTCGAGAAGTGACTCGGACAGAGGATAACCGGGCATGGAAATTATAATTTGAACTGAACAATAAAGCATATCCATTCATCACTTGAAGCGATGTCATAACGTTAATTTTGCAATGACTTTGCGCAATGAAAGTTGCTGCGTTTTGAAAGAAAATGTAATTTCACATGTATTGACATCAAACAAAATATGTATCGAACCTGTTGGCATATGTCCGCTAGAAAAACATTTTTTTATAAAAACGAGAAGTTACCGTTTTAGAAGATCAATAGAGCACATCATGGGTGAAAACAATATTGACGGAGACTATTCCGATTTCATTTACTTATACAACATATTTCAAATATATAAACACATTGGCCGTCGATCTTACGTCCAGAATTCTTCTGCCGGTGTGATTGCAATTAAATGCATGGTCCCATTAGCCAAGGCAGAATAATTAGATAAGGCGGAAGAGTTGTGAAGGACATTCACTGTTCTGGAAACGGCGGTAGAAACATTTGTAGAGTTGGCGGGTGCGTCATCGCGGACGTTGTCGAACGATATACACGACGGTGTGTTCCATGGGTTGTCACAGTTACTCCAGGGGATGTTGGAAGAGAAGGAGTGGTAGAAGTAGTAGATTAACCAGGCAAACAGAGCAGAATAGTAGTTGCTGAAGAATATGCTGATAAGGACGTTCCCTATGCCCATACCTGGAGGAAATGATTATGTAAGGTCATTGACACTGGCCTGTATTTTTGAAACACCCCTCTGCAATACCAACTACAGTAACCTCTCTTTTGAATCTGTATATGTTGCTATGTACAGTTATTAATGTTTTCGAATCTGTGAATGCATATATATGTAGTCGCGTAAATTTGTACTCTTACGGATAATATAATGTATAGTACACATATATTATCGTTTAAGAAGTGTAAGAGTATAAAGGTGATTAAAGCAACATGTCAGTTCATATATGCCTGATACCAGCATAGCATGCACATTTCATTCAGTTTTTGGAGGCGTTTGAATGCCTGATGTGGACCCTGACCTTAACTACTATTATACCTTCCATCGTTCGTATTTCTATCGAACAAAATTTGTATGACCTTAAAGAATAGAATATACAGAGTAGTTTTCATTTGCAACGGCATTTTATTAGAAAGATTATTGATGAGATAAAGGCAGGTACATACCTTTAAACGGTGGACATAGGTTCCAGACTTTAACTGCTCCACTCTGTGAGAACTGACCGATCGTCATTTCAAGGAACACACAGGGAACTGCGCCGATGATCATGAATACAACGAACGGTATCAGGAATGCTCCTACAAGACAACGATCATGTACATCATGCATTAGAGATGTACCCTCTTAAACCTCCCACGGAAAATAAAAAAAATAGTCATGATAGTTTGTTAAGTAACTTTTCTATTTTGGAGACAAACGTCATGAATTCAGAGTTTCCAGAGTTGGTCGTATGTTCCAATTACATTCTACGTTGAAATGAATGTTTCATCATGAACCGATTTGGAGTTCGATTGTGATTCATCGCTATCATTTTAACACAAACAGACTGTAGTTTCTGTTTGCTATACTGCTGGAGTTGGTGCGTATTTATTAAGTGCAAGGTAGCAGTATTACTTTAATCTAAGATTATATATGTATTGACCGGGCCAAGTGCCTGTGTTTTTCTTTGTAAAGTGGGATAATTTAGTCGTGCTTTCATTTATTTACCCAGGGGTACTTTTATAGCTGAGTGCATGTGTGTCTGTATAGTAGTCTAACGTAGTCTCACTTACTTCATTACTAACTCAAATAGTGATCTTCACTGTCCCATAATTCTGTAAGCAATTATCAGATTCTTAAGTGTACCAATGTGGTATTGGTCTTTTTGGAATCTTGTGAAAGTAGACAATTACCTGCGTGGTGGCTGTTGTTCTGCTTGAGTGACTAGACCCATGACCCTGATAGGTTCATTAATCAGAGGCGTGTGTTTGAGGTGTTTTATTGATTATCTAATGTGTCACCATCCCCCCTTTGACTTTGGATTTCTAGTTATTTTTCACTAGTTTCCTGGAATAGGTGGTTGCCACTCTGACATTTCCCTTCACTTCACTTCAATGGAAATACTAAATATGTACAACAATGTTGACATCACTACCGGTGATCGACTTCGCCAAAATGGCGTGTTCAGGAGTAGACAGGAGTAGGCTATGTTGTACGCAGGGACTTTCGTTGCTTCAGGGATGGTATAAGCATAAAGGTTACATGCAAGTTATCACAAACAATCTGACAACCTGCATGTTGTCATTGTCTTAGTTTGGTTTTCATTGTAACCAATTGTCAGAAATGCTGATAAGTGAAATGTCTTAGGGCATGAGCTTGCCTCAGTCACGGCGTAACGCTGGACGAAAACTGTGACAATTTCTGTTGAATTTACGAAGTCATTTAAATACATCTAGGTTTAATTCCCTTACAACGATACTCATCTGATACTTATTCTGGATATACTGAGCCTAATCCTGCTCTCCAAATAGGAAAAGTGTAAAACCAGTGATCGAAATAAGCATCGATCTATGCAGTTGATACATGATGGCATGCATTAACCAACAACCCGGTCTTATGGCAAACATGGGTTGCTAAAGTCCAATTCTAACCCGCGTCGTTACTGGTAATGTATGAGGAATGAAGAGATTCTTGTAACAAAGTTTGATTATGCGAGATGTAATAGGCTTAATATAACCGACATTCGTGAAACAATATTGTATCAACACTATGCATTGCAGTAGAAAGATCACATCGTGTTTCCTTATTTCGCGATTTTGACATTTTAACCGATTCCAGGGTCATTGGCAGCGTTTCGGAATGCTCATTGTGATTTGCTAAATTCGACATCAAAGTAATCATGGTCGCAAGGGCGAGACACATAGATCCATTTGACATCCAGGAGTTTCAAACACAGGTAGCTTAGCACATAGAGACGGAGAAAACACCCTTCTTTAGTTGGTCTAAGTAGAGGAAAATATTATCATTCAGAACCTCATTTTGAGGTTTAAACCTCATAAACCCAAGTAACGTCATTAATATACAATATATGCATGACGTCATAGGTCATCAATGGTGAAACACAATGACCTAATTAGTTGCAATTAAGCAATTAGTTGTGTGATCGTTAATTAAGCCAAAACGAGACATAGTATCGATTTCCATATATGGAAGTTCTACTACGAGTGGGTTGGCGATGTACAGGTGACTCACGGTGAATGGAATGTTCATGTGTTTCAAATTCTGTGGACTGCAGAGAGGGGAGGTATGACTTCCACTTGTCTAAATATAAAGTCGTGTTGCTGCAATCCCCTGTTACTCGCTATAAGACGTATCGTGTTATTTCCACGTTTGCTAGGGGTAACACTCGCCTCTGTGCGTTATAACGAAATGAGGTCCTGTATGGCTCAGTTCTGGGTCAACACGTTGTGTTTAACGAGTTAATCCTTTATACATTTGTACAAAACATTTGCTCATCGCAGAATGCTAAGTACATTTTATATTTACATTATACATGGAAATTTTTAAACTGTCTGATAACACTAATGAAGTAATCTTTCCTCATAACATGTAAAAATATAGACATGATAGAACCTAGTTCTGTGTTTGTTTATGGTATGTCGGGGAGAGGTGATACATGCCTCATTAAGAGGGGTAAATCACAATGCCTGATTGACCCCAGAGCCTTCAAACCCAGTATCATCTTAAAAACAAACAAATGAAAAAGCAGTGTACAAGTGAGCACAGCTCACATACCACCGCTTCCCCACTTTGGGACATGGAAATGACTGATATTGATATATATAATGTGACAAGGATGAGCAGCTCACAAGACTTTCTCATTGACTCTACTAATTTTTATACACGTTAGATAATAGTCTCTGGCTATGTACTGATTACAGGAATAATTTATGGAACCTTATTTTTTGTGTTTTCCGTGGAAACCTGACATACAATTGAACTTGACTGTCTTATGTTGCACACAATGAAGTGGACGTACATGAAGATTGTTAATTTTTAGCACATGACATATCTGTGGGTCATGATTAACTTGTGTATTAAGTTTGATGAACCTAGCATGTATAGTTTCGATGATATGCTGTGGCCAGGTAACCATCAAACACATTTTGTACACCAAGTCATGTTTCCATGGAAACAACATCAAACAAATTCTGAAAACAGTTTAAAACAAAAGGCACATCAATGGGTAATGATTAACATGTGTGTGAAGTTTAGTGAACCTAAACTTCAAGAGATATGCTCCGGACCAAACCATCAAACACATTTGGCACTAAGTCGTGTTTCCATGAAATCAGCAAAAAAACAAAATTCTGAAAAAACTTTCAAATAGCAAATGGCACATCAATGGGTAATGATTAACATGTGTGTGAAGTTTGGTGACTTAGCATGTAAACTTTAAGAGATATGCTCCAGACAAAACAATCAAACACATTTGGTAATTTCACGTCGTGTTTCCATGGAAACAGCAAAAAACAAAATTCTGAAAAAACTTTAAAATAGCAAAAGGCACATCAATGGGTAATGATTAACATGTGTGTGAAGTTTGGTGAACCTAGCATGTAAACTTTAAGAGATATGCTCGGGACAATCTTTCGGGAGGGACAGACAGAATGAACGCTATATACTCCCGTTACTTCGTAGTGGGGGTATAAAAAACCCAACTTCATCTGTTATTTCATTGTTGTAAGTTAAAGTGAGTGAGTGAGTTAATACTTAACGTCACTGTAAATTAAATATTATTATTAGGAGTCTTGGGAAGGGGTCACGGTGACCTGACCGAGAAGAGAAGGTGGGAAAGAGTTCATTGTTGGGCCATTCATTTTTTGGGGTGGTGTATGTGTGTTTCTGATAACTTAGTAGTTCTATGGGCATGACGTGTATTCATTGTATATGGAGATAGATAGAATGGGCTTCTATCAATTCAAAACATATTGCGCCTCAGAATTCCTATTTTTTTTGTTAGAATACGTCCGACTTTGTGTTAGCAACTGTATGATACTCAATCACTAGCAGCTACTTACACCGTCACCCCTTCCTTTTTCTGACAAGTTCATTGGTTTGACATGCATTAGGCGTAAAATGATTGTAGATATTACAATTCTGGCTTGGTAGATTGGCGTTTCTTTACACACCCGTGGTTGAGAAACCCCATGTGAGAAAACTGGTATCACACATATGTGTGAGATCGATTTCTATTAAAATTCATTGATAAGTTACTCGTGGTTTAATCAAACAGAAACCCGTTACCGTGCCAAAAATACACCTTTATACCTACCTGTTAATTTTCACGATTACCATAAACAGGTATGTATACAATAGAAACACAATTGTACGTAAATATAACACGAATCTATTTATTTTTCTAATTCCTTTTATTAACACTTTAGATTTCAGGCAGGTACTAAATTCGCTCGAAACAATTAGTATGATACCTGGTGGTAAACAATTATGTGAAAATCGCCGTTAGAA